GGGGGGGGGGGGGGGGAGGGAAGGAAATGGGGGAGACGAAAGGCAATTTTGCCGTCTGCATTAACCTGCCGGGAACCGATAGGAAAACAAAAACCAAAAAACACCATGCTGAGGCAAAACCAAACCAAAAATCGTGGGAAACTTCAGTGGTGTTGAGTGTTCAAGAGACCACACACCTTTTACGATTCCTCCGCACCAAACTTTTAAATATCTTTTTCTTGCCTGGAATTGCCTGACCGTTCACCGATGAAGGGTCTCAATATCTGGTTTAGGAAGGGCAAGTGAGGGTCAAAGAGCTGAAGATGCAATCAATGTGGCCCGTGTCCATGAGTGCCAAAGCCATCGGTTGTGATGGCTCTCCGCCCACTGGCTTTAGCTGCCCCTTCTTACAGTTAATTAAGCCGTACCCGTCATTCTCCTCCGTTTTCTCTTTCTACCCTTTTGCTTCCCCCGATATCTGCTTCAGATTGCAATCCTTCCTGACAGCCGAAACGCCACTTGTCCTCTTAATTATTCATTAGCAATGTGTTACAAATATCGGTAATAAAGCATTCAGCATTCGCCTGTTATTTACTGTCTTTCCTCAGCCCTTGGAAGTGCTTACCGATATCTGTAGCTGTTCCAATGGTAATTTACTCATTTGCGCTGAAGCGCCTTGAGAGATAAGTCAGTAATATATATGAGACGCCATAGTGAAGATAAATGAGGTACAGGAGGCTCTGCAGCTTGCCTAAGTTTATCAGGTGAGTGACTTAGCGCACAATTCTGAACTGGGGGCACCTCAATTTATATTTCGTGTCTTCAAAACTAGGCTGAACAGCCGAAGGCTTTTTCATTCATTCCACAAACTTCTGGGTAAACCCTCACCTGAAAGGAGCTTCTTCCTGTGGGAAGTCCAGGTAATAGCGGATGAAAAACCTCTCAGAGTCTTCTCGTTCTCCCTCCGTTATGACACTTCCATTCAGCTTGGTGATTGATGGTAGCCTGCCGAAGAGAAGAGGAGAAAACGTTAACAGCTGAGCAGGCCGGGGGGGGGGGGGGAAGAGTCCCCAAGTAGCCAGTAGCAAATATTGTCTTGTCTTCTCAGGAGATTCTTGCGGAATTCTGACATCCAAAAATATAGCTGTCAGGGAAATTGCATTTTTATAGGGCTCCATACAGAGAGGAATGGATTTTAAATTGTGCATTATGACTTGATTATAAATATATCTGACGATTTCCTAAATGCCTTCCTTCATGTGGACTTTCCAAGCCATAAAACGTTGGTAACTTTAGAAAAGGCTGTAGAAATTTGGTATTTACTGCTTTGTGTGTGATAAAGAAGAGGGGGAGGGAGGGAGGGAGGGAGAGAGAGAGAGAGAGAGGGATGTTATGTAGTTCCTGGCTTAGTCTGTCACTCCAATCATTCTAGATGGAGAATATGAATTGAAAGATAGCTGACCAAAAGGACAGCATCCAAATTCAGGTGCAAACAAACACTGAAGAAAATAATGAATGCGGAACTGCAGAATATGGGATCAAAGGTTTTTTCTTTTAAAATGGCACAACTAGTACCTATCAGAGCACAGCTCAAGCAACTGTCTTTAAACTTCTCAACAGTTAATTTAACATCTGCCATCAGTGGTTTTTGAGATTTCAGCGAGACGACGACAACCAGCATATATGCAATGGGCGTATTCTCATTACAAAACGTACACCAGAGAGGGGAAGACCACGAAGTGGGCCCATTAATAGGGTCCTCTCCCTTTACCATTGATTGACAATAGTCCTGTCCTTAGCCACGATGAGCCATCTTCCTGCCTGCAGAGCTCTAAAATGAGACACTGAAGTGCAAGTTAAACGACTCATCTGAGATTAGGGCCTTGCCTTGATTCTCCCTGATGCCCCAGGCTAGATATGAAGATGGAAGTGATCAATTTTAGACCAAACCGCTGAGATTTTTTTTAAAACATAAGAAACAGTTAGATAATGGTTTTAAATAAATAAGTCTGCAATATAGCAAGTATTAAAAATACCAATTGGGAATCAAGCAAAAAAATGGGCACAAAGACTCAACAGTCTCCAAATACAAGATATTTGATTTCCCCCTTCCCAAGGTTATTATTGTAGCCCTTCAAAACAGGGTTTGCCAGTTATATTACCTGGAACAATTTTAATTCACAACGTAGTNTCCGCAGATATAGTGCTTTCAACGCAGTCTGGCCAATCTGTCTTGCTGAATGCTGCAGAGATCAATGTTCCCCATCCTCAGGGGGCTAGGGGGGAAATATGCGTGACATCTCCCCCCCCCCAATCTCTCTTCTGCTCTCTTGGTCGTATTCATTCATTGGCTGTCGTAGCTAGTAGGACCAGAGTCAAGCAGAAATTTTTACAGCTATTAATTGCGTAACTGTGGCTCAGCCTCTGCCTTTCGGTAGGTCTGAATCCCTTTTGGCATTTGCAAGCGGAGGAAGACGAGGCTGAATGGGAGGGGGGGGAATAAGTGGGGCAGCACTGTCTGGATGCCCACGAACCCGTTCCACAAGTTTCCTCTCCCTCCCACAGATAAACACCCCTCTTGTTTATGCTCCTGGGTAGAGATTTCTGCCTTTGCTCCTTGTCTCTGCCATGCCCCCCCCCGCCCCTTCCCCAGGCATTTTTCAGATATCTCTCATTAATAATGAGGAAGGAGCATCTCCTCTGCTGGGCTGGGAAAGTGGCAAAAAGTCAACCCAAAGTCCAAGGGAGCTGAAAAGATAAAAACAAAAAGTGGTTAAGATTGGGGTGGGGATAACATTTCAGAGTCTCTAAGGGATGCCCTTAGACTGAAAGCCCCTTTTGTTTCCTTCTTGGCTCAGCCCAAAACCGTGATCGCTGCTGTGTCATTGCCCCTGTCAGGGGATGATGGGGCCTGGCAACCGGGCAGGGAGGCCCCCCCCTCCCCGAGAACTTGTGTTAAAGGGAAGGATATTCCACCAACAAGCAGAGTCTCTGTCTGTCTGCAATAAGAGAGGGGGGAAGGGGCTGATGAAGCGCCCTCGGTTTTGCCCAGTGTCTTGGGACGAAACCAGCTTTCACAGAGGCCGAGTGTTTGGAGAACGGGCTGCTGTACTTGGCTTCGCAGTTAACACGGAGAGAAAACTTGGTCCGTCGTTTTGGCTAACGACCATGTGGGAGATAAGGAAGACTTGCGTTCTCTGAACCCCGTGACGGCTGACAGCAGGGAAATCAATGGTAGAAAGTGAAAGGCAGCTTTCCAGGATGGGGTTTCAACTCCTACATTCATGCCGTCACTTCTCGTATAATGGGATCCACAACTTATTCTGCAGAGTCTTGTTTTCCCATTGAGGTGACCGCAGACTCTTGATTCCAGAGAAGTAAGACGCGCCATGGTCACCAAAATAAAAGGGTGTTGAAGATTCCACAACTCTTTCCTCTTCCACTCCCACCTGAGGCCAAAACTTCTCGCCAGATCAGGGACCAGCAACCCGCGGCTCTGGAGCCGCATGTGGCTCTTTCATCCCTTGGCTGCGGCTCCCTATCGCCAGTCGGCACCACAATTTTGAGAGGAGCTTCCGGTTTGGGGAGGGGGGGAGGAAGCAGGGCACACCAGGAGGAAACTCTATGGCAAGGGGCGGGTTTTCTGGTCAGCTCCAGAATTGATAGGGCTTTCAGTTAGGACAGGTAGAGGAAAAAGGGATGTCACACTATGAGGAGACTCTATGGTGGGGAAATTGGACTTCCGGTCGGCTCCAGAATTGAACGGAAGGGCTTCCGGTTAGGACCTTTGTGTCTTTTTAAGGTTCCCGACCCCTGCACTAGATGATAACAGATAACAGGGATTTCGCAGGTCTTGTAGACCAATTCCTGCTCAAGAAGGAGACCCCATTCCATTCCAGACAAACGGTTGTCCA